AGTTGATTGGACAGTTGACCATGTTGTTCGGCGCCAGTCTTCTGGTACCAAATAGCATGAGCTCTTTCCAGCATTTCATGGTATGTGGTGAAGTGATGAGACATAAGTATCGTGCTTATATCCGAGTTCAGCCCTTGTTCAAACCTTCGTACCTTCTTATCCTCTGTATCCACCAGATGTGGAGCATACCTTAAAAGTTGATCAAACTTCCTCTCATACTCAGTCAGGGACATAGTCTTTTGCTTGAGTTGGAGGAATTCACTTTCTTTGTGATCCCTCAAGGACTGGGAAAATTACTTGTCCAATACTTTCCCTTTGAATTGCTCCCAAGTCAATTCTGCTTGTTGTTCAGGGGTCTTTGTCCTTGATATTGAGTCCCACCAGTAACTTACATCACCGGAGAACATGAACTCAGTACACTGGAATTTTTGAGCGTCCGTGCACCCTATCAATCAGAATATACGATCCAACTTACAAAGCTACTCCTCGGCTGCAAATGGATCAGCTGCTCCGTTGAAGGTAGGGGGCTTTTGCCTTCGAAATTGCTCGACCATTGAAGCATGGTTTGGAACATTAGGAGCTAGTGGTAGGGGCTGAGCTTGGTTCGGGTTTTGCCTGCCTAGGTCTTGAAAAGCTCGGAGGAGATCTCTTATCAAATTTTAGTTTGCGCGGGCCATTTCCTTTAGACAAAACATATGGTTCTTATTAGTTTCATTCTTCGAATACTAAAGCAAAGAGGATAGTATTTTATTTCTTGACATAAGGGAAGCTATTACAAGGATTTAAATCTAATCCCTATAAGTTCTACGGATCTTCTTTGGTGGAGCTTTATCTTCGGAGGAGTCTTCCGCCTCAGGTCCGGACTCTATGTCCATCTCAGCCTGTGGCTCAGGCTCAGGATCATTCTCTAAATCATCCTTGGGTTCTTCTTCGGGATCTTCTTCCTCACCCAAAGGTTCTTCCTTAGGCTCCTCATAGATTACATCATTCCACAAATCAATCAAGGCATAGCAATACCTCTCAAACTCGAACAGGTTTGGGTTGCCTTCTAACATTTCATCCCTAACCGTGACTCCCATATCTCCCCATTGAGGTGGGAGGGAGTATGAGGTTATTTATAACCTCAATATGCGTGATCTCCATACCAGCATTAACCGCCGTCATGCATCTCTCATAGATGTCATACATATGTTCGCTAAGCAGTCGGGTCGGATCAGTTACATAGTTTTCATAGGAATGAATAGCAATTCTACGGTTCAATGCTTCTCTATATGCCCTAGTCGTTTTACGAGCCATATCTGTTGCATTTTCAAAAACATCATACTTTTTCTTTGCTTAAAGAAAACATGCAAATATTTAAACTTTCATATCATGCAATTCCCTTTAAGCCCTTAACTTTTGCCCAAGTCCATTACATATCTTTAAATAGCACATCTCAAAATCATATCAAAGCATCAAAACATAAACATAATCATTAACTTTAAACATGAACATACTTGGGCCATAGGATGAGATTGATGGATGGATGCACGATGCCATGGAATACCTTAAACTTTTCATTTTCCTTTTGTTTTTAAAAAAAAACATACTTGGTCTACAGAACCGGCTAAACCTTGCTCTGATACCACGCTGTAACGCCTCGACCCCTTGTGGACCGGAACGCTATTTACTTTACTTAGCTTAACCGGTGGTTTAGTAACAAGTGTATACGTTTTAGCAGAAGCTTACATCTTCGGATAATAATTTAAATAACAATACTTCAAATACTTTAAAGAAAAACAATAAATCATTTTTCAAAACAACAAAATGCAATTTATTTGAAGAAAACATAGCTTGTTCTCGCATTCTGCGTTATTCAAAACTTTAAAGAAATAGCATTGGAAAACATTTCATAAAAATAAATCCAAATCACTTATTCACCGGATTTCCATGGGCTTGTTGCATCACTCTCCATCTTTTCCTCCATCCATACCCGAGGTAGAATTCCTTCAATTTGTAGAGATGGGATTAAACCCGTGAGTTGAAAAACTCAATAGGTGTCATATGTGCATTCGTGATCAAGCTATACATTTCAAAACATTAACTTTATAACTTTTCATACATGTCGTACCCAGAGGCACCATTTGACATACGAACATTTCTTCAACATAGAGGGGTATGCCATACCGGAGTAACATTTGACATACAACCATTAACATAGAGGGATATGCCATACCGGAGTACCATTTGACATACAAACATTAACATGAATTGAAACTTATAACTTAACACGATTAAACACATTACACCTCTACCTACATTGATTGATGCTTTTGAAACTTTGAAAACTTGGATTGAAAACTTCGATAAAACTTGGACGTTGAAAGAAATGCACTCTTTGGATGTTTGAAAACCGTTGAGAATTGATGCTTGAAAACACTTCTTAAACTTCTAGGAAAAATAGTTTTCCTCCCTCTCTTTTTCTCTCTTGGGAACTCTTTCTTTAGTATGTAAAATCTCTTACTTTTGGTGTGAGAAAAATGAGTGAAGTGAGATCTCTATTTATAGGTAAATATCCCATAATTTAAAGCAAATGAAGGGTCAAATTTCATTTAAGAGATAAAACATGGATGTCATTTAAGTTTGAGGTTAAATGCTTCAATTTAGTGGGGATTTTTATTGCCAAAAACGTGGGTGGCCCTTTGAGAAAATAATTGATGAAAATAAATATTTAAATTCTAGAGAAAAACGAGAATTTTATTTCAGGCAATTTCAATCGACTGGTTGTAGTCCGGTTGACACTGCGCAACCTTTAGTATTTATATCATAACTTCTTCTCCCGATATCCGATTGAGGTAATTCAAAGTGCGTTGGAAAGCTAACTCAAAGAGCTTTTATTTAGATATCATTTTCCAAATCGAATGTTTCCTACGTGGAAAATGGGTCTCAAATGAGACTAAAAATTTGAAGTATACTTTAGTCATCCAATATTCATGTCTTAGTGCCACTAAGGTATCTAGAATTATTTGGGGTTCTACAACCATTCTAGAAAAATATTTTAGGCACAATATAAAAAGAAAAGGAGATAAAGGATCACCTTGACGAAGTCCTTTTCTTCCTTTAAAGAAACCATGGAGGCGACCATTTAAAGAGATAGAGTATGTAGGTGTTGACACACATTTCATAATCCAATCAATGAATTTAGTAGGGAAATTCAATCCCTCAAGCACATTTTTAAGAAAATCCCAACTAACCGAGTCATATGTGTTCGTCAAATCAATTTTTGAGGAGACATCATGGTGAAACTCTCTTGCGATTGTATTGCCTCAAAATCTCTTGAGCAAGGTGAATGTTTTCCACCATACTTCTAACTTTGACAAAAGCAGCCTATGCATGATCAATAATAGATCCAAGTGTAGACCCCAAACGAGATGCAAGTATGTTAGAGATAACTTTGTATATAACATTGCAACAAGCAATCGGTCTATAGTCACCCACCAAAGAAGCATGGTTCGCCTTAGGAATCAGAGAAATAACAGTGTGATTCGTTTGCTTAAGAAGAGATCCAGAAGCAAAAAAGTCCAGAATAACATCAGTAAAATCATCCCCAACAATATCCCAAGATTCTTTGAAAAAACATGAACTATATCCATCCGGGCCGGGTGACTTTTCATCTCCAATGCTAAAAAGAGCATCTTTAATTTCTAGTCTTGAAACATCCCTAATAAGTGAAGTGGAATGCTCTGTAGGGAGGGTGGCCTCGAAATCCAGAATTCCAGCTTGAAAAGATTGGCAAATGTTGTCTTTTCCCAGCAAGTCAACAAACACATGAATGAATTCACCAGCAACCTCCTTTTGTGACGAAGAATATGATCCATCCCTTTTAAGAACAACTGCTATAAAGTTTCTCTTAGTGTTTCTCTTAACAATGGAATGAAAAGACCCGGTACATTTATCACTATATTTCAAGTAAGTACACTTAGCTTGTTGGAAGTAGAAACTTCGCTCTGTCTCACTAAGATCCATAGCTTCTTTCCTCAATCTAGGAACCTCCGTTTGTAAATGTGAGTTCATGGGATCATCATGTAGCATCAACTGTGAATTAGCCAAAACTTTCCTGGCAACCTCAGCTCTAGTAGAAATGTGTCCAAAGTGTTTATCATTAAGGTCCTTAAGCATACCTTTAAGACATTGAAATTTTTTACAAAGAGAGAATTGCTTAGTACCGCGGATGTATAGCTTCCAAGCACTAAGCACCAGTTGATGGAAGTTCTCATGCTTAGTCCACATATTGAAAAATCTGAAAGGTTTTTTAATACCACTGTCACATGCAAAAATAGAAACAATACATGGTGAATAGTCCGAAAGACATCTAGACACCAAGAAGTCTACATAACTAGACTCACGCAGATGCATCCAAATATCATTAACCATTGCTCTGTCAAGTTTAGACCAAACCGAATGATTGGTCCAAGTAAAGAACCATCCAATCGATCTTAAATCAGCAAGGCCAACTTCATGGGAACAATTGGCAAAATTTCGAATCTCATATGGAGTGACATCCAGGCCACTACTTTTCTCATCAAAATGAAGAACATTATTGAAGTCTCCCAAAATTAACCAAGGTAAAGAACAATCCACCCCAAACTTCACAAGATTTTCCCATAATGATCTACGACTTACAATCATATAAAAACCGTAGACAAAGCTAATACAAAATATTTGTGATGTTATCTTGCAAGTAACGAAACAATGGATGACTTAAGACGCAGTCTCCAACACTTCCAAGTTAACCTTGGAAGCGTTCCATAGAACCAGGATACGCCCGGCACGGTGGAGAGGGAAGTTGTTAATCTGCAAAAAATTCCTAAACTTATTCCGCATAATATAGTCAATCTTTGATAACCCCAACTTTGTTTCCAAAATTCCCATAACATCAATGTTTTGTTTCTTCAAAAAACTCCTAACACCATTTTGTTTAAGGGGGGTGTTGAGAGCCCTAATGTTCCATGATCCAATCTTCATGATGAAGAAGGAAGGGAATGACCTTTCTTCTTTTTCTTATCAATGAATAAATTACGTTTCTCATCTGTCTTACCTTTGTGCTTCTCATTTGTTTTATCCAAACAAATAACTTTGCCATCCACATTCTTAGAACTCAAACACTGCAAAGTAGTAGTATCCCCCTCCTTAGAAGAATGATTTTGCACATTTTCTGAAAAAGTGTTAAGATTCTGTCCAGCAGAGGGCTGCCCAGATTTTCCACCACCTTTTGGCACTTTAGTTGATGATTTGTTTGCAATCTATCCAGAAGATATTTGACCAGATTTACCGGTCTTAAATCTTCTAACAACCTGAGGAAACGGAACATCAACATGGACCTCATGTTGTCCCTGTGCTGACACCAACTGTTCGGAGGAAACCCCAGCATCCAAAGCAGCCTGAACTGGGGGATCAACCACATTGTGTCCAGTTACCACCCCTTTACCTTGGTTATTTTTCGCAACCACTTTCTGACCGTGTATAGCTCCATGTTTGTTGGTATTACAAGCTTTAGTAGTATGACCCAACATCTTGCAGTTGGCACAAAATTTGGGCTCATGTTCATACTCAACCACCTGCACTCTAAGTTTGCCAGTTGGAAGATACATGGAAACAGTTCAAACCAGTTCCTTTGACGCATCAATCTCCACTAAAGCACGTGCATACGACAATCTCCCCTTCGTAGCAGTGAGTTTATCAGTCGAAATTGGCTTCCCAATCTTGGAAGCAATTTTAGACAATACTCTTGAATTCCAACAATCCAATGGAAGGCCCGATAACTTCACCCATACAGGCATGGTACTCACCTCTTCATCATCAAATTCAAAACAAGGTGGCATAACTTTTAATCATTAAGGGTCTACCAAACACAAAGTAAGGTCCTTCTTGTAATACACTATTCCTCGATTCCTCACTTTTGAACTTGAAAATCAGCCAACCACTTCCATGAACAAAATATTGGTATTCTACCTTCCAAGAATTGCACATAAGGAGGAGAGCCGTCTTCCTCGGAAACCGGCTAGCAAAGTAACCCACAGTACAATAACCTCAGGATTGATCAACATTGTCAATGTCAATAACATCCAAGGTAATGGCATTGGGTCGATCCTCTATGAAGTTAAGTTTCATACCATCACCAATATTCCTGTTACCTTTGAATAAATTCACCCAGGTACCAACCATGTTGTCACCTTTATTACTATCCATTTTATCCAGAACACTATTCTGGATTTCATCATCTGAGCTTGCCGAGCTAGTATCCATTTCCCCAAGAGTTTGAGAGATAGAAGGTGAATTATTATCTTTACACAAACCTTTCCCGAATTTTATTGAGGCATCACCATCCATCAAATGAGAATTGGTGGCACTAGAAGTAGAAATGTTGTCATCCTTAATCCTTATGATGTTTCTGTGTTAAACCCGAATTGGAAACATCCAAATTGGGAGAAACCGTTAATCTCTTCACTGGCCCAACAGGCACATTGAGACCAGGCTTATGGGCTTTCTTTTTACCCATAAGGAATAAAGTAAAAACCAGCAAAGGCCCAAAGAAACAGGGCAACCCGGCCCGAATGAAATGAAAAAACCACCCAAGTAGTAAATAATAAAATATTTACTAACCAGCGACTTGCAGAACCTATGAAAATCGAAAAGAAATGTATTTGAAGTCCCCCAAGTGGCCGACAACTTCACTGACTGAAGGCAACAACTCCAGCAATAACCAGAGACCCAAGGCAAAATGCATAAAACATATACTTACACAATAGATACAACATGCAAGTATAAGATACTGCAGAGAAGAACCCAGCAAGAAGGACGAACAGTGAACTGAGAAAACCAAAATACCCAATGTAATCACAACAAAACCAAAGGCAGGCGAAAGAGAACACCCAAAACAGCACCCTCGCGAGTCACACCAAAATTACGAGTAGATATAATGCTGGAAGAAGCCACCAAAAATCACCAATAATCTGGCCGAAAATAAGGAGCTGGATAAGCAGTGAATTCCGAACTGTCGGAGCAAACCGTAGATGATAGCACTAGGACCCAACAAAGTGATGGAGAAACCCCAGTCGAACAGTAGCAAAACGGAACCCCAAGAAGAGACCCAGAAAAACCACGAGCCAGATGAACTATAGTTAAAATACAAGCAGAATCCACACTAACATAGAATGTTAAAACCAATAACCACCAACAATAGTAGTAACGAGCTCAAAGCAAGAAAGAAATCCAGAAATCAAGGCATTCAAGTGGAACTTTCTCTCACTAGAATTGAGAGCATCTCTCTCTGACCTTTTTTCCTTACAATGGCTTTTGTTATTTTATGGCAGGCAGGACAGAGACTATTAAACAGTCATGGATTAGTCCACCAGAACTCGAATATAATATAATCGGTGATTCTACCTACAACCATAGTCTGCTGGATGTGCTTAAAGTTGATTTCGAGATCTAAGCATTTCAGTTATAAATTTTCTATATGTGGGTAGGCAATATAATTTTTGCTGTATGTGAATTACCTTGTTTAAAGAGCTCCACAGAAATCATAATACGAACACTCCATAATTCTGAGACAAATAAGTAAACAAAAGGTGGCAAAATTTCTTATAAGACTTAATAGCCACCTTATATTGCTATTCATTTAGCATCAATCTCATTTCCTCTTTATCTCACATAAGAAACGTAAAAAATTATGCTACCTTCTATGTATACTTCTTATATAATGTTCAAGCCACGTGTTTTAAGGCGATGATTTCTAGGAATACGTTAAATGTTTATTGAAGATAATCAAACCGAAACAGAGAGGCTTAAATGATAAATCTCTCTCTCTCGATCACAACACCAGTTTTGAGTTAGAAAAGTTTATTGTACGCTAGTAGTCTGGCTTCCTGCATGATATTAACATAACAACTTGTTTTCTTCTTCTACTTCTTCACATACCACTAACAAGCTCCTCGGGCACTTCTCCACTAGCAAAGGAAGGGTTCTCTCAAGATTAACAATTCAGAGGTCGTGGGTTCTATTCGTGGGGCTCTTGGAAGGCAAGGCATATACTGGAAGGTAGAATTTATCTTGGAACGCAGGAATGTTTTGGAAGGCAAGATGCAACGTGGGTTGGTTCATTAGGCACTTTGGCAGTTCAGTTGGAGAGGCGCTCGGACCCTGGTCAGTAGGAGGCACATCCCGTGGTTTAATTGTTTTGTGTGAAGAGGGGCCAGATCATAGGCTCAAGGAATAGTCGTCGAAAGCGAACACCTTGATAATAATAATAATAATAATAATAAAAAAAAAAAAAAAGGAGCTCACATCTCAATTTTATCACTTTAATTAATATTCAGATATTAAAAGGTTCTTCTTAAATTAATCCATACCTGTCTATTTTGATCTTTCTTTTGTATTTGTCATTCCTTTCTTGGAATATGACAAAAAATAACATAAACATCACACTTTATCATTTACTTCACTCTAAAAAAGAAAATTTTGATTGTATAAAACTTTAATCGAAGAAATGGTGATGCATAGCATTTTAGGGCACTCGAGATACAAAACTTGGCTATTTTACTCTTTAGCTCCCATTCTTCTGAACATGTTAATTTTTCATGTTGTCTTTCGTTGCTGGAGTTTAGATACTGTGTCTCCCTCCTAAGTTTGTTATTTTGTCTTTATTTCTATATTATTAATACTTTGCTATTCTTGTGGTTTGACTTAAAAAAATACATAATAATAATAATAATAATAATAATAATAATAATAATAATAATAATAATAATAATAATAAGGCCATGCAAGGAAGATTCCACTAGAGGATTCAGGAGTGATCAAGTTATACCATGATTGCAGTAGTTGGAATAACATTTCCAGTAAATAAGGAAACTCATGTTACTACCTTTTATCTGATTATCAACGACTTGTGTAAAGTACAGCCTTGAGAGATTCACTGAGGGCATGTACGGGAAGTATTTATGAACGGTTTCAAAATATAAATAAATATAAATGAGTGATGTATTAGTGGGTAGTACAGAAGTAATTGTGGACCCCTCGAAATGTGCGGATAAATAGTGGGTTGAGTGTTAATAAACAGATTATAAACATAACTCAAACATAGGCTGAAATTTAAGCTCTATACGCAGTATTGATGATAGGTTCTCTTTCCAGTTTCATGAAGTCCAAGTTAGTGTCCACAGGATGTATGATTTATAGGTTCACATAATCAGATGGCAAAACTTAGGCTAAAGTTTTATGAGTAAGCCTCAAGGAACCAGCTCAATAGTTCAATGAAAACTATTAATAGATTTCTTATTATTATCATATAACCTTGGGGTTTTATATGTGGAGGGTCCCCTTTCAAGGCACCATATAATATACCTTCCTATAAAAGGTGAAGTGTAGGAGATAGCAAGTTTTCTTGGATGTTCCGATAAATAGAAAGAAAGGGTTTCTTAGACTCTGGTTCCGATACCAAACTATTATAATCAATGAGGAAATACGACAACGGAAGAACTTTTTACTGGATCTAACACAACAAATATTGTAGAAGATAATGAACAGTATCGTCTGGGAGAGAAGTCTAGACTTCTTGCCCCTACAAAGTATTTAGAGACACTTCCCTAATTCAAATCATAACGCAATAATTAAGCTTAGGCAAGAAGCTTACTTAACTCATGCAAAAGACATATTACTATAAGTAAAATTATTAAACATAAAGTGACATGATGTCAAAGAAATATATTCTTCTCCCTCTATCAAGAAGGTTGAATTCAATCATCATCTGTCTCATCATCAGAAGTGTCGTTTACGTAGATTTTTAACCCCGGCACATACTTCTTTGGTTTGGGATAACCTTGCAAGTGTACTCTGTATATCGGGTGGTCAGAATCTTCAAAACCCCAAGAATATTGGTCAGTGAAACTGATTATGCATTTACAGACTTCTCTAATGTAGTCTTCAGGGCATACATCTTTGCTATACCATTTCGATGTATCTGGGTAGAAAAGTTCGTCAGGGACATTGGCTGGATCCACATGATTCGCGAAGCTCGTGATTGTTCTATCACGATGGAAGGCTTCTGATTTTTTATCAATTCTTTCACAGGCATAATGAATTTCACAGTAGTATTCCTTGGAGATTTTAATCCCGACTCCTCCAGAAATAATTTTCCTGAAACTTCCCATGGTTGCAAAAACATGCTTGCTGCTTGTCTTTTCGAGTTTGCTTTGCCACCACTCAATACTGCCAAATAGTTGTAGCCATTTCAATAGGAACTTGTACTTTCTTTTTAAATGTCTATCGCAGATTGATAGGTATCCTAGCACGCTGTTGACATTTATTACTATGCCAATTGCATAGAGGTCTGCTAAGTACCAAAGCAAAAGGTAAGCCTCTTTTGGAAAAAAGAGAGTAAAACGACCATTAATTTCTAAGATGGTTAAGAATGGATAATTAGGATGAAAAGGGAGGTTTAAAATTGGTCCATGATCAAGCCCATACCTTTGTATGTAGATTTTTTGAAGTCCCCTAACATATTCAAGGCTTCTTTTTGTGAGGGTGTGTTGAAGGATTTCTTCTTGAAGATGTTGTGGGAGGTCGATTGGTTCGAGGACATGAATCATTGGAGACATTGCTGAAACGGTACTTCGACTTTTCGAGAGAAAATCTAAATTGTCCATACAAATCTCCCCGCCTCCGGTGTAGCTTTTGTGCAGCTCTATTACAATCTGGACTTTGAGTCTTTAATGAAACCACCAGCTCAATAGCTCATTGACTGACATAATTAACGGATGAAGACCAGTGTAAGCCTTTTACTGATAGCCATGAAAGAATCTCTGAAAGCCTGACATGATTT